CGCCTCGCTCAGCCAGTGAGCGGGAACCGGTCTGCATGTGGGATCCGAACCCTCGGGCGGGAGCGCCGCCGCGCTTCCCAAGTGGCGCACTATCCAGTGCGCCACCGGGCCAGCCCACAAAATAAATTTTTTAAAAACATACAGTTCAGTGGCATTTAGTGCTATCACAATGTAGTATTATATGAAAGGAGGTTAATATTATCACAATGTGGTGTAGCCACCTCCTCTATCTGGTTCCAGAACATTTTCATCACCTGGAAAGGAAACCCCATCCCCATTAGCAGTCACTTCAAAGAAAGAAAGAAAGAAAGAAAGAAAGAAAGAAAGAAAGAAAGAAAGAAAGAAAAAATCATTGTAGGAGGAAGGGGTGGTATGTGTGAGAGGTATCAGGGCGTAATGGGGTTCAGTGAAAATTGGGCTGATTTTTAAGTCAGAAAACACAGATTTTGAATCTTTACATCCTCAAATATTTATGTATTTATTTATACCATTGTCATTCCAGAAATAACTCAATATTTTAGCTGTGTAATTTGGGCAAATAGCTTAATCTCTTTAATTTTTAGCATCCTAAACCACCTTATAAGATCACGAGAGGGTTAAAGCACGTGTTACATTTCATAGTTCTAAGCATAGTGGCTGAAACTTGATTGCTGGTAACTTTTAAGATCCTTATATACAGTCAGAGAGAAAGAGTGTTAAAAGTCATTTATCTTCTGCTCATTTGCACGAATTCTGTGAATTGAGGTGAGACCTACCTTGGAATCTGATTCAATTGGTTCTTTGCACTTCTCGCAATAGTTAGAAAAGATATGATTATAACATGAAACACAGTATGGATTGTCATCCTTTAGTACATACTTCTTCCCAAGAAGAGATGCTGTGCAGTACTGACAATTAAACTGAGCAGTTGTCATTTTGGTTTGATCCTGTGAATAAGCAAATGATTCATGTATAGAAAAGCAAAATTTTCATTATAAGATAGATGATAAAGCCTCAGTACAATGTGAACAAAGCAGTTGAATTACTTTACATTTTCTTAAGCAAAAATCCAATTTAGGAAATTATGCTTGTATTCACAATGGCAGTTCTTGTGTGTTTTGCTAAAAAAATGCATCAAGCCAGCAGCCAGATTGTGAAAAACATCTTGTATTCATCATGAGCCAATGTGAAATTCAAAAAGAATATGATATGTGTTGAAATAGGATGGTTTCATCTTAAGGATCTAACTATGAACTGTCGCTAGGGCTTTCACTGTCTGATCCTCACTTACTATCTTGCTGGAGAATTCCAGAGGCAGAGTTTGATGGAAAGAACAACAATCTTTTTTACCCGAACTTAAATAGACATTAATAATCAAGTACATTGTCATTTTCTAAGGTCTTCCTGTACCGTACACTCTTCCTTGAGACATCCTCTTTACCTGTGGCTTCAACCACCCCAAATAATTCTGATTACTCCAAAATCTCTGTTTTTTGCTAGTTTTAGGCTCCTTGACATCTCCATATAAATGTCCCACACCCAGCTGACCTAATAAAACTCCTCAGCAGGCAGAATTCAGTTCAAATGCTAGGTCCTTGTGTCTACTGTTGAGCAATTGTCCAGATGTAAAACCACTAATGGTAGAAAACAACTATAGGCTTCTTCAGGCTTTACAGCTAAACTAGCATGTATAGCATGAATAATGGCAGCAGCACCTTATAGACTGAAAAACTAATAAAGCCAAGGACAGGATAAGTATTCTGATGATTTTGTAAATTTAGGAAAACCATTAAGGAACAAAACATATACCTACCAAAAGGGTTTTTTTTAAGGAATTTATTTTTTAAATGAAACCTTGTACATATTTATGGTTTACAGTGTTATATTTCAATACATGTATACCATGTGTGATGATCAAATCAGGGTAATTAGCATATTCATCATCAAAAATAATTTATAATTTTAATTTAATTTATAAATTTATAATTTCTTTGTAATGAGAACATTTGAGCTCCTCTCTTCTATCCATTTGAGAGCATGCAATAAGTTATTGTTAATTGTAGATGCCTAGCACTGCTGTGCGCCACTAGAACTTATTTTTCCTGAACAATTTTTCATTGTTAACAAAAGCAGGAGCAATGATCTTCCTTGGAAAATGGGATTTGTCATCTTTGGGCTTACTGAAATATATCAGGAACTGTGAATATTTTCTAATTCTCCCGTCTAGATTTTTTTTTAATTTAGCAAAATCAGAAGACCAGTTAATTATTACAATGGTTTTTACTGCATCTTTGATGCTAGTTTGTATTTACTACATTTGATCTATTATTATCACACATTTTGCTTTCTCTTATTTCAGGCATAAATTTCCCAGCAGCTTACTGAAATATATCAGGAACTGTGAATATTTTCTAATTCTCCCGTCTAGATTTTTTTTTTTTTAATTTAGCAAAATCAGAAGACCAGTTAATTATTACAATGGTTTTTACTGTATCTTTGATGCTAGTTTGTATTTACTACATTTGATCTATTATTATCACACATTTTGCTTTCTCTTATTTCAGGCATAAATTTCCCAGCAGAGTGCCTTGGTGAATATACATTGTTACTAATTCTGTGTATAGCACTTTTGCTATATTGTTCTTCACTAATAAGTAGAGAAAAGACTGATGATTTGGAACATGTGGGTCTTTTCCCAGGATAGATGAAAATTCAGACTAGAAAGTTCCCAATGGAACATGGCCAAAATTATTTGCAAGTAACATTGAATTCCCTATTTGATTAATTCCACAGAAATGTCCCTTCCTAGTGAATACAAACACACTTGAAGGGTTACTGAGTACTTAGAAACAGTAGGAAAATAGATCTGATTCCCTTTAAAGGTTTTAAAATAAAAGTTTTACTCACATTACAGTGATTATGTGTTTATCTCCCAATAGTGAAATCAGGTATGCACCTTTAGCTTTCATCAATTAAAATGGAAAATGTCATTTTTATTATCAATATTTGCTTAGTTTTATTTTATTTTATTTTATTTTTTAGTTTGCTTAGTTTTAGATGTATATAATCACACCATGAAACACAGCCTCTCAGAGGCTGGGAATTTCCAGGGTACTTCCATTTTGTGCGGCTTTTAGTATATTATAAAATGAAGAAACAACAAAAGGGATGACAAAATTGGTAATACTTCAAATGTTTATTTTAAACAACACTTTAAACACAACATTACAATATCAGGTCAGAAATCTAAATATAAACATAAGACCAGGTGGTCCTTTGCCCAACCCCATCCTAACCATGATTGGCCTTGCTCCATTGAAAATTCTTAACAAAATGGGCCATGTTTTTTCAGTTTCTAAAAGAAGAAAGTCACTTCTTAATTATTCTGTTCTATTTTGTAAAAACAACATCAGGGAGTTGGTAGGGTGAGAACAGAGTTAGATAAATATCTCAAAACCTTGTTATTGTACATTTATAGTGGACGGTACAGTGTGAGCAGGCTTTAGTTCAGGTTAACAGTTACTGTTTACTCAGTAATATTTGAACTCCTTGCCCTCAAGAAGTCTAGCTTCTCCTGGTTTAGCTCCTACCTTAGTAATAGAGAATATAATTTGAGATAAGAGACCAAACTGAAAGTTTAGTCTCATCTTGGATGGAAAAAATACACTAAGAAATTCAGTTCTCATGCTGGTGTTCTATTGCACACTAGGGTGACGTGGTTAACAGAAATGTATTGTATATTATAGAATAGCTAGAAGAGAGGCTTTTGAATGTTCTCACCACAAAGAAATGATAAATGCATAAGGTGATCAATACACTAAATATTCCAACGCATCTTTATATAATGTACATGTGTATCGAAACATCAAATTATACCCCATAAGTATGTACAATTAAAAAAAACTTCAGTTCTCATTTTTATGAAGTCTATCATTTAACTATGGAGATATGAATATGTACAAACAGAGTTTCTTAAAAATAGAAGTGTTATAACCATACAAATTCAGCAAAGCATAACAAAATTCATTTATACCCACAAGGTAAAAAAAAAAACAAAACATTAACAATTCTGACAATATCAGATGTTGATGAGGATAAAGGTAACAGAAACCGTCACACACTGAAAATGAGAAGGCAAGATGGATAGATAAAACCACTCTGAATAATAATTTTTCGTTACATTGTAAAGTTGAACGTTTCATACCTTTCATATGACTTAGCAATTTTACCTGTCAGTGCATAAACTTTGAGAAAACCTTGCAAGGGTCATGTATAATGCTCATAGCAGCATAGTTTATACTAGCTGTGTCAAGAAGCAGTCTGAATGTCCATCAAAGGAAAAATGGGTAAATAAATAAATGTATGGTCATACAATATATTGTCATATGGCAATAAAAACAGACAACTTGCAGGTACCCTTCTCTGTAAAGAACTTTATAATATTGAGTGAAACAAGCAAGTTGAAAAAGAGTAAATACAAGAGGATGTCATTTACATAAAGTTCAAAAGCAGCCAAAGTTGATTATTAGGAATTATAACTATGTTAAAGTTATTTTTAAAGTATGGTGATGATAAGTACAAAATTCAAGATGCAATTTAAGATTATCTAATTTCTGGAGTTAAACAGAGGATTGGGATGTTGCACAGAGGGCTTTGAGTATTTACAGGATTTTTGTTTTCTTAAGCCAAATTGTTATTTCTTTTACTTTGCATATATATTATAAGTATTCTTTTCTGTATATGGAATGTTTTATTTATTAAAGGTCTTTTAAAAAATGAGTGGATAGGGCTGGCCTGTGGCTCACTTGGGAGAGAGTGGTGCTGACAACACCAATTCAAGGGTTAAGACCCCCTTACCAGTCATCTTTAAAAAAAAAAAAATGAGTGGAAGAGGAGTTTTACTTTCTTATGGTGGAGTTGAAATGCACTGGGATATAAATTTGGCCTTTTGGTTTCCAATAATGGCTCTATGTTGATGTGTTTTTGAGAAATTTTATTTCTTTGTGCATAATTTGAGGGAGTTGAATTACCATGTATCTTTTATTCTAAATACCAACTATAAGTTACAGCATTAATATGATTATAGCTTTTTTTTGTTCCCTATGGAAATAGGTAATATATAAAATAATCACATTATGTGTCTTAAAATAGAGGATATATAGTAAAGGCTATTTAAGATTACTTCAGTCTTTAATACAATCTTTTAATTCAATCTTTAATGAATTGCATGTTTTACTAAGTAGATGCAAACAATTTCATAACCATTACTTTAGTACATATGTAAAAGTGCACTGTTTTTTAATTTAAAGCTTGGTGGGTGTTCTGGCTTAATTTTCATCTGGATATTGACAGTAGCTTTACCTGCATGAATACATCTATGCTCATCTGAGAATGCTACCCAACTATCCCAATTGTCCATTCAGATCTTTCATTGATTCGGTAAAATAGATTTATTTCCACTTTTCTTTAGGGAAAACCTTGAAAGAATTTAAATCTAAATGGTGTTAGGAATATTAAAATGCTCGGGGGAAATGTTAGGCAAAATGTTGAAGTCTTTGAAACTTGTCTGATTGATACGCAGGACTTGGATGGAGACAGCAACTGGATTAACAATCTTAATTTGATTCTGGATTTAACTGGATTTACCTGTGGCTATTTTCTTCTTTAGGATTTTACTTTGAATCATTGCTCTAAGGGCAGACAGGTGGCTGATGGGCAGTCTACAGCATTTTTGAAGCTTCATTGAGCAGATATAATGCACTATCCTCTATAAATGGTTATAGAAACCATGTACAGTACATGGTTCTACAATATACCCAGTCTCCTACGGTAAATGTTTCCCTCACTCTCTTCCCCTCCCTGCACTCCCTACGCATGCTTATTGGGTCCCACATCCTATTGATTCCACCTAAGAAATATCCTTTAAATCTTAGCTTAGTCCTTTCTC